TTACTAAAAATTATGAACCAGAACTTTACTATTACATTATGTTTTGATAAACCTGAACCATCAGTATCAATTTTATTTGTCTTTTGTGGAATTGTGAAATATTATGATTTAGAAAACACTTTAAACGATCCTTTTGTTTGTGGAAATGTCAATTTTATAACAAGAAATATCCCATCAATGTCAAATGTTATTTCCAATAATTTAATTTCATATTATTTAACAATAGATTTCGATTTCAATTCTTTCAAAAATTTTTCAACACATAATAATATATGACTTTTACAATCAAGAAGTTTCACAGGTTTAACTTATCCACTGGTTTATTTAATTAATAGAACATTTACCAATACTCGGAATTTCCATATAAATGGTGATTTACTATTTTAAACTTCCAAATGGTCTTTTTAATTGTATGTATTATTATTTTTATTATTATTGGTATAACATCAAATAATATACAAGTTGATCCATTACCACCCTTCGGTCCAGATATTAATATTATTGAAAATTTTTGGTAAATTGTTAAAGAAAGGGTATCAAAAAAGATGTTTCATAGGTGAAAAATAAATAGATTTACCAATAATAATTTTTATATGAAGAACCTTACCATAATGATTAATCATTAATTTTTAAAAATAAATTGAAAGGAAAACTATTATATTCGAAGATTATTACAGGAGTGGTTGTGGGTAAATTAAAAAAATAAAAAAAAAAATTTCTTATGTTTTACTCGAATGGCATATCATGACAAGAGTTAAAAAGGAAGGTTTAATGCAATGATTTGGGGAAATATTGTTTATAATAGCCCAGGTCATTTAGTTCATTTACCCAACGGATTAGATTCTTACCTATATCTTGAAAATACACAAAAAGACACACAGATAAATTCTTCCATGTGATACAAAAAACGATAAATATTAATGATAATTTATAATCACTATTATCATTTATATTTCAATTTAATAATAAAAATTTTATTATTTTTATATTTTTTCAATTTTTGGTATTTCGGATATAATTTTTTTTTTATAAAATTTTTTTAAATTTTTTAAAATTTTTATTTTTTTTATTTTTTTTGTTATTTTTATTATTTTTATTATATTTTCCAATATAATTAATATATTATAATATATATATATATATTATTTTTTTATTTTGGTAATCAAATATTTAAAACTACATAAGAATATTACAAGGTTTAAACCAACCCAAAATTACCAAAAAATGTAATAATTATTTTCATCACAAATCTAGATATTTTTAAAAAACGTTATAATTGATTATTCATCATCGCAATAAGTTTTTTTTTTAAAAAAAAATTTCTAATAAAAAAAAAAAAAAAAATTTCTTTTTTTCCAAATATAAATTCAATATGTCAACACTAATAATAATATTTTTTATAAAATTGTTTATTAATTTTTCACTTCAGTATTCACAATCAGAAGGTAAATAATAATAATAATAATAATAATAATAATAATAATAATAATAATAATAATAATTATAATAATAATAATAAAATTTTTTTATTCTTTATATATAGGCACATGCTTTACCGATTTATTAACAAAGCTAGGTTACACCCCTCCACAAGATTTTTGCACAGATTCACCTTATTTTCAATGCGATGGAGTTTTAAATATAATTAAAATGGACTTTTCTGGAAGTCCTCAGTTAACAAATGATGTTATACAGAATACGGATGTAGATTGTATTGGACCAAATCTCAAAACAATGATTACCTCCAAATGGAATATATCTGATAACTTTTTTGATTTTGCAACAGAGTCTTTAGATCAAATGTAATTATAAATTAAATAAAAATAAAATTATATAAAATAAAATATTAATAATAATTCAGAAAAATGAATATACCATCATCAATAAGCTTCAAATACCCAATCAATTCAAAGAAATTCGGGACAACTTTAGGAAAAAGAATTGAAGAACCTTTATCTCTATCACTTTTTACTACACCCTTAAAAGATACTTTTGAAATAACCCCAAGTTCATTACAATTGAACAATATGAATTATGGATTATATATAAATAATGATTTAAAAAACACTTTAAAAGATCCTTTTGTTTGTGGAAATGTCAATTTTGTAACAAGAAATATCCCATCAATGTCAAATGTTATTTCCAATGGTATAATTATTTATTATTTAACAGGTGATTTCGATTTCAATTCTTTCAAAAATTTATCAACACATAATAGTATAGTAGGTGTACAATTGAGAAGTTTCCCAGGTCTATCTTACCCACTGGTTCCTCTATCGATATTATTAGGTTCAAAAGATCCATTTAGTAAAAATATGAAACCTGTTATGTAAGTATAAACTAAATATTATAATTTTTAATAATAACATTTAATTAATATTTCTCTTACCCATTAAAGCCAAATAGACTATGATGTTCAAACACCAAGTGAATTTATTGAATTTACAGGATACTCTTTCTTTAAAAGTTTGTAAGTAAATTTTATTTTAATTAAGAAAATTAATAAAATAGAAACACTAATTTTATCTTTGATAATTTATAGAATATTTTCCTATACTCATAATTTCCAAATTGATGGTGAGCTTCCATTTTCAAAACTTCCAAATGGTCTTTTTCAATTGTATGTATTATTGTTTTTATTTTTATTTCAGTTATAAAATAATAAACACTAATAGAAATTTACTTTCAGTTCATATTTTTTTGGGTCATTGATAAAACTCCCAAACTATAAAATATTTGATAATACAGATATTTCTCAATTATCTTTTTCTTTAAATGAAATAGCTGGTGATTTACCAAAATGGGATGGTTCTAAAAATAATATAACAACCTTAGATTTAAACTCAAATTTAATAACTGGAACTATTGATGATTCTTATTGCTCTGTGAATTTAATTATAAAAAATAATTTAATGACAGGTAAAATTCCAGAATGTTTTACATGCCATTTTAGTGATACTTTTTTTAAATCAAACTTTGATGAAAATTCTTTTGATAACTACGATACTATAGGAACATGCAGTAAGTTTATTGAATATATTATTTAAATTAATATTATCATTAAAATTAATATATTTCTTTTTATTAAAATTTTTAAATAGAAACTATTCCAAAATTAAAATATTTAAATCAAACTTTTTGGAAACAAAACAAAATAGTAACGGAACCAGTATTATCATTAATTGGTCAAAATATTGGATATTCGGAAAGTGATATTGTATCAGATATACAATTTAACTACATTTTGAAATCCAATTCAATAATTATTTCATATAGTTTCTATACTCCAAATAGAATTATTCACGAAATAAGTTTCAAGAGTACTGGTCAAAAATTTACATTAACTCCAGATCCATATCCACCACTATTATCAAGTATAACATCAAATAATCATATTTTAGTATTCAAAGGTTTATATTATTCATACGATATCACTGAAATAACAATTACAATTGGTGATAAATCTTGTGATGTAATTGACTCAACATTTTATCAAATCTCATGTACTTTAACAACATATCCAAATCAACTAAATAATGTATCAGGCACAATCAAAGTAGATCAATTACAAACAACATTCAATTTAAATTTAGATAACAACGATGGTAACGAAGTATTCAACAACTATACATCATGTCCAGACAACTGCAACGGTTATATATGCAACTATAATACTGGTATTTGTGAATGCCCTAAAGACTGGACCGGTGAAAATTGTTTTACTCCAAATCATTATGTATCATCAATAACACCAACATACGAAGATGGCGGATTAGTAACAATGAATGGATGGTTCGGTGATATTCATCAAAATTTAAAAGTAACAATCGGTAATCAAGAATGCAAAATAGATACGATATCATCAAATACAATCACATGTAACATTGGAGCAGGTACAGGTAAAAAAGATGTAATCTTTTATCAAAATGGAATCACATGGAAATCATTCAACTTTTTTGTATACCAATCAAAACAACAAACATGTTTAAACAACTGTATCGACACTAACCATGGTATTTGTAATACATCAAATGGTATTTGTAAGTGTAAATCAGGATGGACTGGATTCGATTGTAGTTCACCTTCAAATAATAACAATAACAATGGTAATACCAACAGCACAGTTAATCCAGATGGTTCAACAACAATTAATAACTATCAAACAGCATACAATATATTAATCATATCATTATTAGAACTCGATATCAACAGTGACACAGTTAAACAATATCCACTTCAAAACAATTGGAATATTACATCAAAAGATAAAAAAGGATCAAATGTAACATTCACACAAATACTAAACGAAACTGAATGTCAAATCGTATTATCAATTCAAGAAATAGAAAATGATATTCAATATTCATTTGCAGGTTTAGAATTCAAATTAGATAAAGGTTCAATTAAACTATCAGTATCAATTCACAACTACAAATATCAAAGTCCACTCAATACATTACAATTACAAATGATATCAAATGTATCAGAAACAACATCGAACGATTGTAACAGTAAATCAGCTTCAACATCAACATCAATTTTAGACAATCAAACATTAAACTATATATCGATCAACAAAGACAACAAGATTCTATATGGTAGATTTATAAACAGAGCAATATCAGATGGACACACAACATTAATAACCACATCATTAGTATCAAATCAAAACGAATCAGTAACCATTGGTATTAACATTCCACATTGCAAAACATCATGCTATATCGATCCTGACTTTTCAGTAATAATTAGTCCTGATTTCAAATCAAACTGTAACAACAAATCCAAAAAGTATATAATTCCAGTAGCTATCGTTGTAAGCTGTATTGGTGTAGCTGCAATTGTTGTGATCACATATTTTATTTATAAAAGAAAACAACAGAAAATTTTTGAAAAGAAAATTATTACTTTAAGTAGTTTAAATAATAAATAAAATAACTATTTCAAACAAGAGAAATATCACCTTTATTTAAATACTAATAAAATAATATTTTTTAACATGGTTTCTATTTTTTGGGTATATATTTTATTATTGTTTTGAAAAAAATTTTAAAAAAATAAAAAATTAACATTTCCCAAATAAAAATTTCATTTTTTTCAAGAAGGAATTTATCAAGAACCAGAAGTCATAGAAGTTGCTCAAGATCAAACTGAACATCAAGAAGAACAAAATCAATTTGATTTAAATGAGCCATTATCCCAAAATCCAATCATTGATGAATCATTACATCTTTTAACAAGGGTACAATTAGAACAATATGAAAATGAAAATGAATCACCAATTCCACTTTAAATCAATACCATTTAGAACAATATAATTATTCATTTGAGGAAGAAAATGAAATATATTATTATAATTGGAGATGTTATTAAACTCCAAACACTCCCCCACCAACACCATCACCAGATCAATCATCAGAACACTGGAACATCTCAAATTGCCAATCAAATTCATAAAAACAATAAAAGACATTATGTATAACATTCGATGAAGAAAGCGAATCTATCTAGGCACAATAAGTAGGAAAAACCGAAAGATAGCTAGGCTTCAACTTCAACATAAACAGGATTCAATCGAAAATTGACCAAATAACAGAAAATATTCTAGCCCAATTTGATTCATGGAAAAATGCAACATCAACACTCAGATTTATATTAAACATTTTAAAAACGTTCTGCCTGTTACAACAACATTCCACATGTATATCAAAGACATAACAACATTTTAAGAATTTTGGAGCAAATGCACCAGATACGTATATAACATATTTTAAAATGATAATAAACAGAGAACGCGCAAGAAAAGATTAAGATTTAGGATTATGGAAAATAGAAACAAGAACAGAAGCACAGAAAGCCTGGAAATACGAAAGATATATCAGAGCAATTAGCCCAACTCAAGAAAGAAACTGAAGATACTTGCTTAAAGCATTGCCAAAAATATTCGAATCACAATACCCGTTCTGTCATACAAATAATCATCAGAACTTATAATAAAAAATGATATTTTTAATACTAATATAAAATAATCAATTTTTAAAATATTATATCGAATATACAATTTCATTTATATATAGCAAAAAAAAAATTAAAATTAAAATAAATAAAAATTAAATTATAAAAAAAAAAATAAAAAGAAATTTTTCAACATGATTTTAATATTATATAAAATAAATAAATAAATAAATTTAATATTTTTTTTTTCATTTTGATACTATTGACCACTAAAGATAAATTTTTTTTTGTTTATATTAAACAGTTCGCATCATTATATTTATTTGGATAATTCAGATCACAATGATTTATAAAATTGGTAATTTTAATTTTTATTTAATTAAAAAAAATAAAAATTTATTAATTCATTTCCCAAACACATCAGCCACTTTTATAATAATAAAAAAAAAAAGTGTGTGGTGGGGTTATAATTTAATTTTTTTTAATTTTTTTTTAAATTTTTTTAATTAATTTTTTTTTATTTGGGGATGTGTTAAAAAATAAACAATGATCACTACTTTTATGATAGCTACAGATTAAAAATTTAATAGAATGTACAAAAAAGGGAATACCGAGTTTGGATCTAATCTATTATATTAACATAAGGAAATTATAATTAAAATGAATTAAACTTTTTTTTTTTTTTTCATTTTCTAAAAAAATTTTAAAACTCTATAAAAACTTTTTTCCAATTTATTTTTCATTAAATTCAAGCTCTCAATCAAAGTAATTTGTATAATCAAGCTTAAATTTATTTCTTCATTTAGTATTTTTTTAATCATAATATTATATTTTTTTAAATAATTATATATATATTTTATATTTCATATTACCCTTTAAAAAAATCAAATCAAAAAAAATGGGTAACTTTTTTTCAAAAAAGGTAATTATTTCTTATATAACATACATTAAAAAAAAAAATACTAATTATTGTTTTATTTGTATTTAGGATATAAATTTTGAAAAAAAAGTTAGAGCTATGGAATCCAATATTAATAAATTGGAGACCAAAATTTTTAGCTCAAAATTAGAACACTATAATAATTATAAAAAAAATATTTTTTATTTTTTTATTATAGAATTACTCTTAGTAACTTTTTTATATGAAAAGTTTACTTCTTCTGACACCTTGTCTGAAAAGGCAATGGGTCTATTTTATTCATTATTTACTTCAATAATGTAAGTTTTTCATTTTTAATTTATATATAACTTTATTTATATTTATTATAGATATTAACATTTATATTATAATTTTAGAATCTATATATTAATTAAATTAGATAGATTATGTTTTGAATTATTTATTAAAAATAATGAAAAAAAATTAATAAATTTAAATAAAGGTCTTGAAAAATTGTTTGAAGAAAGAAAACTTGAAACAGATTACGAAAAGACCAAAAAGCTCTTGGAGGAGTACGAAATTTTTAAAAATAAAAGTAGGTATTAGATAGTATTCATTTAAATTTTATATCTGTTGTAATGTAGTGTCTAACTATTTTTTTAGATTTCAATAACAGATATCAACATAAACCTCCATAACAGCCCCACAACCACCACAAACATCAATATATCTTAGTAGATATAATATAGAATAGGAAATATAATAAAATTGAAAAAATAATATTAGAATCAAAAAAAAAAAAGACTTAGAAGAATTTATCGCATATGTCCAAAATCCATGAAGGTAAAGATCCAATTAAAGCAAAAGACCTTCAATTAAATCAACACCAAAGAATTTTTTCATTCTAATAATCTATTTGATGAATATCAGACATTGTTCTGGCCAAGCAACTATGGTATCAACGAATGGTTTTAGATAAAGAAATGATTTAATGGTTCATTAGAAGAAAGGATTTAATGGTTCCTATCGGGCAGCTTCCAAAAAACTTTATCAATTGACACAAGTTTTGATTTTAGAAAATTCGTTATGGTGTTCAATTGATGGTTTTATCTATGACCACCGATATTTCATTAATTTAATAACTGCTGCCTTTAAATAAATATAAAGATAAATTCTTTTTATAAATTTTTTTTTTGAAATAATTCTTTTTTTTTTTTTTTTTTTTTAATTTCTAATTTCTTATTTTTTTATGATATTAAAATTATTTATATCAAATAAAATAACAATAATCTTAATATTAGATATAACAAAAGTGGATACCAAGTAAATAATAGCAATAATAATAATAATAACAATAATAATAAAGGTGATGGCTCTAATGGATTAAAAAGAAAGAAAAGAGGTGAAGCTACATCCATTATAAAGAAATGGCTTTTTGAACATAATATGCACATGTCCTACCGAAGAAGAAAAGATTGCGCTCCCAATTCAACTTCATTATCATTCAATCATATCAATTAGTTTACTAATGCTAGAAGAAGAATTTTATCAAGACAATTAGATAGAAGTATTGGAAGTGTTGGTGGCACCCTAAGTAACTACAAAACCGGTGAATCTACATATATAGAGCAATACTGGTTTGATCCAGTACAAATACCATCCGATAAAATTGTAGACTCTACTGGTGCCGGTGATGCCTTTCGTGCTGGTTTAATCTACTCTTTAATCTATAAAAACCAAGCCTTAAACAACTCATTACATTTTGCATCTACATCCGGGGGTCTAAACTGCCTAAGCTATGGTGGTAACAGAACCCCAACCTCCAAAGAAATGTTGGAGTTAATAAATTCAAAACAATAAATAAACTACACCTTTCTTTTTTTTTAAAAATGATCATTTATTTTATTTTATGTATTATCTAATTTTATTTATTGTGTTTTGGTTATTATGTTTTTTTTGCTCTTTTATTTGATTTTGGTTCTTCGGCAACTGTTGGGCTTTTACCTCTGCTTGGTCTCTTAGATGGTGTTACTTGCGCTTCTTTGGGTTCCTCGGGCGCTTCAGTAACTACTTTTGCTGATCCAGGTTTTCTTCCTGCTCTCTTTTTTTCGACCGCTGGGGGTTTATCTAATACCATTAATTGTTCCCTTTGTTCATTAGCTTTGATTATTTGCTCTTCTTTTTCCCTTTCTTTTTCTTTTTCTTTTTCTCTTTCTCTTTCTCTTTCTCTTTCTCTTTCTATTTCTATCTCTCTTTCTTTTTCTTTTTCAATATCCTCTTTTTCCTTATCTGCTTTTTCTTTATCTGATTTTTCTTTATCTGTTTTTTCTTTGTCATCTTTTTTTTTTGGGGGTGTTCTTTTTTTAGATTTTTTTGAAGTTTGTGCTTCTATTGATTTTTCTATATTTTAAAAAATAAATTAATTTATTTTTGTGGTTAAATTAGTATTATTTTTAATAATAATTAATTACCAATTTTTTCGATATCATTTTTAAAACCTGATATTTCTGATGATATATATGCTGAAAATGAACCTAGTTTATGCTTTAGTAAAGATATATCCTTTTGAATATCTTCCATTTTACAATAAATTTTAAAGATATATAGTAAATAGTATTATACAATTTTTAAATATTATCGAATATATTAATTTTAAAAAATAAAAAAATTTACAGTTAAAATTTTTTTTTGAATTTTAATGTGGTAAATCTTTTTTAATGTGAAGGTGTGGTGTGTGAAAAAATTGTTCAACTTTTAATTAATTTTTTGTGTGTTAATAATTAATAGCTTGTGAAGTTATAATTGGGTTTATTAATTTTATTTTATTTTATTTATTTTATTTATTTTATTAATTTTATATATCCTAAACATGGGCCAATGAAGATAGTAATACTATCTTAATTATATCCATAATTGCGCGTTTTTGTTTATTATTATTTCACAAAGAAATCTTATATTTTAAATTTTATTTTATTTGCCAAATTTATGAGCAACTGCAATAATTTTAACTTGTTGTAACAATTCAAATAATTAATTATTATTTTATAATAATTATATATAAAAAAAATAAAAATAGTTGAGAGATAAATTTAAAAAATAAAATTAAAAAAATAAAAAAAAAAAAAAAAAAATATTTTTTTAAATTTTTTACAATTAAATAATTTCAACAAGCAAAAATAAATATTAGTTTGGGTTATTTTGTTTGTTATTTGTTTTTTTTTATACTGTTTTTAGTGAATTTTGAATAAAAAAAAAAAAAAGAAAAAAAAACATGTATTTTTTTTTTTTAATATAGATTTATGTAAAGATATAAGGGGTGATTAAACACAACCCCCATATAACAATACACTATTCAAAGTTTTGTGGTGTGTCTTTTTTTTTAGGGTGTGTATGTATTTTTTAATTTAATTTATAATTTAAATTTAAATTTTTTTTTTTTTTTTTCAATATATTTAAAATTTTTATTGTTTGTTAATTTTATATACACATTTTTAAACTATAATATTCGAATATAATAATTATAATAATATATATACAAAAAAAAAAAAAAAAAAAAAGAGAATAAAATAATGTTTTTAAATTGTGTGCACTTTTAATTGTTTTCTTTTATAATCATATACATAAATAATAATAATAATAATAATAATAATAATAACATATAATAATAACATATAATAAATAACACACACAATGATAGTATTTGATTTCGAATATTATTATAAAAATCAAAATCTATATTTTATAGTTGACAGTAATAATATTAATAATACCAATGATAATATTGATAATAGCTATTTGTTTTTTAAAATATGGCGAAATTGTTATATAAAAGAATATATATTAAAATGTATTTATATTATTAACCATAGAAACTTTAGTCCCAACACTCAAATTGTAGGGTATTGTAAAAACTATGAAGATATCAATTCAGTTAATTGGATGCTAAATTTCAATCATGTTGGCCTGTTATTTGAAAAAGTGAATAGAAATGATAGAGACTTAACCTTTTGTCTTGGTTCAATCGAAAAAATATTCTGTCAAATTAATAAAAATAATATTAAATCCAATAGTATCAGTGATAGTAGTAATAAAGACAACAATAACAGCAATATTAATAACAATGGTATTCTATTTAATGAAAAAGATATTGAAAATTTTTATATCAATTTAATTAGAAACTATAGAGACTATCTATTAAACTTTTCGGATAGTTTATTACTATTAACAATTAAATATGACAATATAATAGCTTTTAAACTACTATGTTCATTAATGACATCACAGTATCCATACAGCTACTCTTTAATATATAGTTTAACAAATAGAAAATCATCTTCCTCTTCTTTATCATCATCCTCTTCATCTACAAATTTATTAGAATCAACAAATGGCGGCAATGGTTGTGGCAGTAATGGTAGCAATAATAACGATAATGATACAACTAATAACAGTGGAGCTGGCTTTGGTGGACTCAATGGTGGCATTGAAATCCATTTTACAAGAAATCTATTTGATACAGCATTTGAAAACTCATCAATTGAAATTTTAGAGTATATTAAAAAGTCAAAATCGCACATCTATTATCTCTGGGACCACACTAGATCATTTTTAGAATGTTTTAAGAATGCCAATGACTCTGTCGATTCTGTACAGAAAAGAAACAAGCTATGTCGATATTTAATAACAAATCAAATGGAAAACATCAACCTGCCAGAAATTGTATATATGGAAAATGAAAGCAGTAAAAGTAGCAGCGGGAGTAATACATTAAACTCTTATTTTAGCTTTTTCACAAACTACTTTTATAAAGACAGCAATAACAATGAAAGTGAACAATACTCGATAGATAAGATTACCGTACCATTCGTCCCATTAACAAGACTAATAGAACTAGACACTGATATACTGATGGATTTCAAGATATTAAAACCAACATTATTCAACTATAGATGTCATGATTTTAATCAATTTCTATGTAGTCAATATAAAGGTTCACTATCATCAATGATTTTTATAACAAGTAAAAAACAACAACTATTTATCTGTAATTTTATTTTATTATATTTATACAGTAATTTAAAAACAAATAATGACAACAGTAGTAGCACCAATATTAATAATGACCATATAATAACATTAATTAAAAATAATACCAACAATAATAATAATAATATTAATAATACTCAATTATTAATTCAATTTTTAGTTGAAAAAATAATAATGAACAATGAATTTAATGATCATTTAAAAATATCAATAATAACGGAATATAAACTTTATTTAAACAAATCAACAAACAATAACAATAACTATTATAATAATAATAATGTTAAAGAAATTAAAGATATTTTAAATAATAATCCGTACTGTTTTAGCATAATCTTTCAACTATCGTATGAATATGGTGACTCCAATTTATTAAAATACTGCCTGACCCACTTCCATATAAAGGTGTATTTACCATTACGACAAAATGTAATACCAGAACTGTTCTGCCAATGTACTGATGACGTAGCCAAACAAAAGCAATTTATTAAAACACTTGTTGAAAATTATAAATCAATAGAAGCAATGGTACCTATTAGTTGGTTTTTTATTTCATTACTAAGGGATGAATATTTCGATCAAGTTGTTTATTTCTACGAACTAATGGAAGAAAAGGGTGTAAACTTATTATCAAAAGAATGTTTAGAAGAAGCAGCGTATAATGACTCAGAATTAATCATTTCATTTTTCATAAAGAAATTTAAAACTCAAATGAACCTTTGGAAGAAAATATTTAGATATTTAAACATAAATATTGGTAGCAACCTAGGTGATGACCCATTTTCAAATGAAAATAGTAACAATAATCAAGATGAAATTGAAGCACATGAAAATAATATTAAAAATATTATATCAACAGTATGGAATAACTCAGTAACCAAAATTGCCGCTAAAAGAAACAATCTATCATTATTACAATTGGTTCATAAAGAATTACCAAATTTAATTAATGAAAGTACAATGGAAGAAGCAATTGATAGTCAAAACTTTAATATTGTAAAATTTTTAGTCTATAACAACTATCCAAGTAATACCAACTGTTTCTTATTGGCATGTAGAAAGAAGGATTTTAGAACTTTAATTTTCCTTATGGATAATAAAAGTGAAGGTTGTGATTTATTTCAACTGTGTGAATACAACAGTAACCTAATCGAATATATTAGAACTCATAGAAAGAAGGATTACGAAAGCAATAGATTTGGTGATTTACATTTATTCGAATCTAGAATCATTAGAGAAATTGGTTGCTCAAGGGAAATTTGTTTATTATATGCAATCCTATCATATAGAAGGCAACAAGAAATAGATAGGAACCAGCCAGCCAATAACCCTGAAGATTCAAATCATGTTTCATTTTTTTCAACACCAATCCAGCAACAGCAACAACAGCAACAACAGCCACAATCAAATAATGTACAAAATAGCAATAATAATAACTATAGTAATAAAGTTCAATCATATATAAAACCAAGTAAAAGTACATTAGAAAGATTTAGATACATAAACTCGTTATCAAGACGAGATCATATTAAGATAGTGTTAGATGAACTTAGTGAAGATATGAATGAAAACTATTTATTCCATTTGCAATTCCATCTTAGATCAATATTTGAATCAATTGTGACCCACGGTAATTTATCAGCATTAAAAATATTTTTAAATCATCAATGGATTAAATCAAAATTTCCCAAGATTTTCGAACACGACCTTCAAATTATCATTGAAAAAACAATTCAATTTGGCTTTTTAGATATGTTGAAATACTTTTTAGAAGATCTCAAACTTACATTACCAATAGAAGCAATTAAAATTGTTGTCATTCCAAATCTTATTAAAAATGGTTCAGTTTCAACACTACACTATATTCTAAAGACCTTTTCAAATTTAAAAATTAAAAAATTCCATGTTGAACTGGCAGTAAAATATAGAAAACAACATATGATTAGATACATGTTTCAAAGATTCCCCAAGCTATTTAATAATCCAAAGCAATATTTAATTAAAATCAATAATAATAGCAGTGGTAGTAATAGTGGCAACTCTTTTAACAACAGCAACAACAATAGTAATATCAATCTTTACAATCAATTTAATATTTATAACTACTTTAAACAACAACACCAAAATCAATTTCAACTTACACTATTACAAATTAACAATAGCTACAACACGATTTCTAATATGCATGCTAACAATACAACAGCCAATAATCTTTTAGATCCCCAGCAACTGCAAAATCTGATATCAAATAACTATATACCTCCCCACCAATATAACAACAATAATAATAACAATAATAATAATGAACTATCAATAGTAACAGATGATATTAACCAATGGTTCCTTAATCTTTCAAATTCATTATCATTGTATTGATCCATAATAAAAAAAAAAATAAAAAAAAAATAAAAAAATTTATCTATTTATTGTTAAAGATATCACAAACAATTTTCTTCTTTTTTTTTTTTTTTTCATTTATTATTTATTATTTATTTGCCCAACATATGATTTTGAATTTTTGTTTATTATTTTTTTTTTTTTAATTTTTTTTTTTTGATATCAGGTGTGAATCTCTATTGCATCATGTTGGGAAAAGAAAAAAATTAATTATAAAAATGGTATTTGTTAAGGCAAAAAATATCGTAATTTATCATAAATACCCATTAGAAAAAAAAAAGAAAAAACTGTGTTAAAAAATAGTTTTTAAAAAAATATCTAAAAATTTTTTTAATTATTTTATTTTAAAAATTTTTTTTAAAAAAATAATTAAAAAAAAAGACGTCAAAAATAAAAATTTTTATTTTTTTTATTTTCTTTTTTTTCGTAGGGTTTTGTGTTGTATGTTCGATATAAAAAAGTATTATATATAGATAACTTTATATACACATATTTTTTTATAATAAAAAAACAAAACAAATATAAAAATGGATATTGTTCAAACATATTTCAATCAGTTGGATAACTACATGGCCAATTTCCGTTGGGAAAGCGGTGTAACTCCATTATCAAGCTATGTATACCCATTCTCAACTTCAATCGCCTATGTATTAATTATTTTCGGTTTACAAGTAAGTGATTTTCAAAAATCGATTTTTAATTTAATTTTAAAAAAAAATTTCATATGAAACATAAATTTAACACACCCCACTTTTTTATTATTTATTTTTATACCTATCTCTTTTTTTTTCTTTTCTTTTCTTTTTTTTTTTTTTAATTTTATTTAGAGATTTATGAAGAATAGAAAAGAGATGAATTTAAAAGCATTCTCAATTATTCATAATATTAATTTAATTGTTTTATCATTTTCAATGATGGTTGGTATTCTTTATTCAGCCTATAAACAAGCTCAAGAACAAGGTGCTTTTAGTTTAATTTGTGAGCAAACTGACCAAGCAGTCCAAGGCCGTGTTGGTTTTTGGATTTACATTTTCTATTTATCAAAATACTATGAATTAGTTGACACTGTTATTTTAGCACTCAAAAAACGTACTGTTATTTTCTTACATCTTTTCCATCATATGGCTATGGTTCCAGTCACATGGCAATGGTTACACGAACAATGGTTAGTTGGTTCATGGTGGTGTACATTTGTAAACTCATTCATTCATGTTATTATGTATTACTACTACCTCCAAACAACCCTTGGCAACAGCTGTTGGTTCAAAGCTCACATCACCAAAGCTCAAATTATTCAATTCCTCACCGGTACCGGTATGGTCACTTATTGGTTCTTCATTCGTAGTACCTATGATTGCAAAGGTCCACTCTCACCAGCCATCATTTCAAACTCTGTAAACACCTTCTTTATCATCCTTTTTGCTAAATTCTATGTTGATTCATACAGAAAAGGAAAAGCAGCCTCAAAAAAGAAGGCCCAATAAAAAAAAATAAATAAATAAAAATGCGAAAATAAAATAATTTAATTTTTTTTAAATTATAAAATAAAATTATATAACCAATCAATTTATCACCTCAAAAAAAAAAAAAAAAAAAAACTTGATCAATTTAGTGACACCAATAAAATCATCACTGTAAAAATTTTTTAAAAAAAAAAGCCTGAAAAAAATAATAATTCAAGCCACCAAAATATTTTATTATGAATTATTAACACAGTGTTATTTTGGTTTTAACTTTATTTAGAGAATTCACTGGGTATATTTATGACCAATTTTGATTATTTATTTAATAAAAATAAATTTTATTTTTTTTAATTTTTTTTTTAATTTTTTTTTTTTAATATTTTTCAAAATTTTTTTAAATAATTTAATAAATAAAAAAAAACGATTATCTTTTATTTTTTTTTCAAAATATCATACATTATTATTTACACTATATATATTTATTAAATGAAATTAAACATTTAAAATAGAAAATTCTAAAAAATAAAAAATAAAAAATAAAAAAAAAAAAAAATAAATAAAAAAAAAATTCTTTTTATTTTTATTTTTTTTTTATTGTTATTTATTTTTTTTTAAAAAAAATCAATCAACAAATATATAACTTAAAAAATGAATTTCTTTGAAAAGGTAAATTTTTTATTAAATAAAAATGGCTATGTAAAAAAAAAAATAATATTATACTAATATTTTTATATATAGAGTCTTTCTTTTGGTGAAAAGGTAGAAACTAAAACATATTCAAACAAATTTTCACCATATGGGTTAGATAGAGGTTCATTTTACATTACAAATTTTAGATTTGTTTTTATACCTGAGAAAAAGAAGCAATTTTATAATAATTCTGTATTATTAAGTTCATATATACAAAATAACAGCAATAGTAGTAACAGCAATAATAGCAATAGTGTTACAAATGGCAATTCATTAAATTCATCACAACCAAACACAAATATCAATGGAAACAATTATTATAAAGAAAATGAATTATTAGAAATACCCTTAACATCAGTATTAAAGTTTGAAAGATTTGTAACAAGAAAAGATAAGGTTATCGATATTACATGTAAAGATATTAGGCAATATAGATTCTTTTTTACTCTGGATAATGATAAAGTGGAAATCATCGAAGCTAAATTCAATAAGCTCTCACCATCATCAATAGAGAAATCATTTGCATTTTATAACTCTGAAAGATTTTCACATAATACCAAGGGATGGTATATTTATGATGCAGAAAAAGTATGTATAGATAAATACAACAATCGTTCACCCATTTATAATTATATTAATGTTTTTTTATTATTATTAGGAATATAATAGAATGGGTATATCACAAAGTTATAAAACAAGTCCATGGGCAATTAGTTTAATTAATTTTGATTATTTGTTTAGTGAAACATACCCAAAGATATTGGTTGTACCATCAAGTTGTAATGAAAAGGAAATTTTAAGCAAGGTTGCATCATTTAGAACAAATAGAAGAATACCAGCATTATCATGGCGCCATAAACAAAAGAATTCAGTTATTATAAGATCAAGCCAACCTAAAGTGGGAATACAAAGAACACGTAGTAAAGAGGACGAGTTATTATTAAATATGTTTAGAATTGCAGCAAATCCATTATACCCACTAGTTGTAGCAGATGCTCGTCCCAAAATGAATGCTGTAGCAAATCAAGCTAAAGGTGCAGGCTATGAAGACGTTCAAAGGGGTTACCAAAGAACGGTTATCGAGTTTTTAGGTATTGAAAATATCCATTCAATGAAGGAAAGTTTTAAAAAGTTAAGGGAGGCTGTTCTAGGACCTGATGTTTCGCATTTTTACAGCAATATCGAAAATAGTAAATGGTTAGAGCATATTTTGCTTTTAATTGAAAGTGCTTCAAGAGTAGCCAGATTAATAGAAGATGATACTTCAGTATTGGTACATTGCTCTGATGGTTGGGATCGTACTTCACAAATCACATCTCTTTCAATGCTATTATTAGACCCATATTATCGTACTTTCGAAGGCTTTATGATTCTCATCGAAAAGGAATGGTTGTCTTTTGGCCACATGTTTTATGTTAGAACTCATGGTAAACAAGCAGAAGAACGTTCTCCAATTTTTACACAGTTTATAGATTGTGTTTGGCAAATCTCCAATCAATTTCCACACCATTTCGAATTTAACGAGCGTTTCCTTTTTAAGATTTTAGATGCAGTATACAGTTGTCAATATGGTACATTTTTATATGACTGCGAAAGAGAGCGTTCAAAAGCATTCAATACTCCATCATTTTGGGCCTATGCCGAAACCAATAGATCATTATTTATCAATCCACTTTATGTACCACCAAAAATTTCAACATCATCATCATCATCATCATCATCATCATCAACTACACCAACCCAAGGTAATAAGAGTTATAAATGTCTTGCGTTATTCCCAATGATTGATATTAAATATATTCGTCTTTGGGAAACTTATTACTGCCGTACCCATTATACATTGGGATTTGACAAAATGGAGGCACTTTCAAATTGGGCCATTATGAAGCAAAATGAATTACAGTCACTAAAAGAAGAAAATATAAAATCTGAAAAAGAAAAAGAGATTAGTATTCAAAGATGCCAAGATTCCCTCAAAGAAAATGAAAAACTTCATCAACAAATTGAAGATCATAAAAAAGAAATTACAATTAGAGACCAAATTTGTGAAAATAGACATCAAGAATTATTGTCATTAAGGAAGGAAAAAGATTTATTATTGCAAATTTTAGAAAATAATAATATTTTAATTGATGAAAATGATTTATTCGATGAAACTAACAGTATTTTATTGCCTAATAATCACAAAGAAAATTTAGAAGAGCCAGAACAAGAACAAAAAGAACAACAAGAGCCACAAGAGCAACAAGAGCAACAAGAGCCAGAAGAACAACAAAAGCAAGAAGAGCAACAAGAGCAACAGAAGCAAGAGCAACAAGAGCAACAAGAGCAACAAGAGCAACAAGAGCAACAAGAGCAACAAGAGCAACAAGAGCAACAAGAGCAACATGAACAAGAACCAAATAGTAATCAAAAAAAAGAAGAGAATTCTAAATTTGGAGATAAGGATGAAGATGAAGAATTGGATGAGATGGATCGCAAATTAAATTCTATCGAGTTTGAGGATAATAGTAGTTTGTATAATAGTTTACCAACCCAACATAATCACAATATTCACAAACACAATTCGCACCATCTTAATAATAACCACAATAGTAATCATAGCCATAGTCACAATCATTTATCATCTTCATCTATTTTGGATTATAGTATCAGCTCTCTACAAAATAAAATCAGTGAGTTAGAACTTAAATTAGCAAAGGTCGAAGGTTTTAATCAAAATATTATAATCTCAGAGAAATTAAATCAAGAGAGAATCGAAAAGTTAAATATCCAGCTAGAAAGCAAGGTTCAATTATTAAAAGAAAAAGAAGGTGAAATTAAAGAAAAGGATGAAGCAATTGATGATGGTGAAAGGAATATCAAACAAAAAATTAAATATATTATTGAACAAGAGAAGGCATATTTTAGCTTGAAACAACAAATTGAAGATTTTTTTGAACAATATAATAATAGTAATAATAATAATAACCCACTTGGTAATTCACCAAATGTAAATAATAATAAAACCCCTGTAAATAATAACAACAACAACACCACACCCAATGGCAGTATATCATCAATTTTTAAAACTAGAGGTTTCTTATTTGGTGGTTTTCGTGATACAATTGATGTTTCAATAGGTAGCACAGATAATAGTAATAATAATAATAATAATAACAAAAAAAATAAAACCAAAATATCCAAACCATCAGCAAATCCAACAACAACAACTTATGCGCAACCAAATAGAAACATAGAAATAATAGAAGAATACTTTCCAAATGGTAGTACAACAAATGATAGAGAATTAATGGCACCAGTAACTACAGCAACCACAGGATCAACACCGCCTGATATTAATATTGGTGGGTCTATTGTAACAGATGGACAATCAATTAACAACAACAATAATAGTAATGCAAATGGTGGTAGTAAACAATCATCAGTTAATCTTCAATGTACTGGGTGCTTTAAAGAAATTCCAAAGAATTCAACCTATGTTAAAGGTAAAAAAGATAGAATTCATTGCGAATTATGCGAAAAAGATTATCAATCGATCAAACAACGTCATAGAAGATGCACAACATGCGATAAAACTTTGGATAAAAATTCAAAAATTATTGATGGTAATAGATATTGTTCAGTTTGCATTTCCAAAATTATTGAAGGTATTGATGATTTAGGTTTTTAATCACTATCAGAATTATAATAACAATAATAAACCAGTAAATACATGTAACTCTATACAATAAAATTTAATTATTTATTTTTAATTTTTTTTTTTTTTTTTTAATTGATTTTAATCCAAAGTTTGGTAGTTAAATAAAATTATAATAATTATTATTATTATAATTTTTATTTATTTATACACTTATTTATTTATTTATGGGTTTTATTTTTTTTTTTTATATATATATATAAATAATTTAAAATAGGGTTAATTATTCATATTGATTATATTTACCATTAGACATAAGAATCATTTAAATTATACTTGTTTATTATTATAATAAAATGACAATTTTAATTAGATTTGGAAAGGGGTAAATTAGTTAACATTGAATGTTTTTTATTATAAAAAATGTGGTAAATATATTAATATTACCATGATTGTGTTTATTAAAGAGTTATTATAACTATTTTTGATTGTTTTAAATTCAAAGCTTAAATATATAATTATTTTATACTTTAATAGAATATTAATTAAAAAAATAATTTTTTAATAAAAAAATTTATTTTTAAATTTAAATATTTTTTTTTCATACCTTTTTTTATAAAATTTTTTTATAAATATATACACTACATATTTTTATAATTTTATTTTATATATCCTATATTACCATCATCTTTTTTATATATCATACACAATTTTATTTTATTACACTTTTTATATTCATTTAATTTTACAAATACACATATCATATTTTTTTATATATATATAATTTTTCAAAAAAGAAATTAACTCCACAACAAAAAGTGGATTTATTAGAGGATATGATTATCCAAACATTTTACCCAATTGGAGAAAATGAATCATTTTTAAATGAAGGTGTTAGAACATCTAAAAAAATGATAAAGGAATTAAAGTTACACAGTTTTGTAACCCAATTACCAATCCAACCAACTACTTTGGTTGTCAATTATTTTACCGTTCATCAACAAAAAGATGAACAAGAACTATTAGATATTCAAAATGTTCAACAACAAGAAGTTAATCAACAAAATTTAGAACATAATGGAGAGGAGCAACAATTACACCTCTCATTAACTTTTGAACATCATCCTATAGATAGTGACGATGATTACAATTGGAAGTGCTATCAAGATCCAAATTCACCACCATCAAACCCAAAGTCACCATCTCAAAATAAACAAGTACAGGAGGAGATTAGTCAAGACCAATTTGAAGAAAAAGAACAAGAAGAGAGTCAAGCTGGGGAGATGACATTATCCCAACAAATTGAGGCAAACAATTTTCAAGAATTTTTAAATAATCATCAAGAACCTGAACCAATAGTACTCATTTTGAATATTGAACATCATCCTATAGATAGTGATGAAGAATTTAATTACAATAATAAGTGTTATTGTAATTAAATTCTTCATCACTATCTATAGGATCCATATTCACCAGTAAAGGAAAAAAAAGAAGAAAATAATCAAGCCGATGAACAAAAAGAAGAAAATAATCAAAATTCAACAGTAAACTAGCAACAAGAAGAAAATCATCAAGCTGATGAAAAAAATCAAGAAAATATCCACCCCTTATAAATCAAGATCAAATGGATCAATATGCATCATCTGAAGATAATAATTATGAAAATCAAAATCAAAATTTACGTCTCTCTTTAACACTTGAGTATCACCCTATAGATAGCGATGATTACGATTTTTATAAAAAAAATTACAATAAATTTTTTCAATAAAAATAGTTATTACATTTTATGCTATATACAACTATTAAAGTTTCATTGATTAATTTACATTATGTATACAGTAATTTATAACAAAGAAAATTAATTTTTTTTTTTTTTTTTTTTTTTTTTTAAAATATTTAAATACAATATTATTTAAAAAAGAAAAAGATGATAATGTAAAAAATTAAAAAAATATATATTAGAATATAATAAAGATAAAAGTGTTTTAAAAAAACATATATCAGATAGAAGTTGTAGTTGATTTTTTTTTTTTTTTTTTTCAAAATAATTATATAAATAATTCATTTCTTTTTTTTTTTTTAATTACATAATTAATATTAAATACACCCACCAACTTTTTAGAAATCAACTATATTGCAGTATATTATTTGATTTGTAATTGTAATAAATATGTTAACTTTAATAATAGTTGTCCCATATCAAATTAAAATCCATTGTTAAAATTTATAAAATAATAAATTTTTTTTTTTAATAATCATGATGTTCGTAAATTGTGCATTTAGTTTTTCCTTTTGCGGACCCACTGTTTAATTCATACCACTAATAAAAAACCTTGTGTGTGGGAACTACATTTTTTTTATAAAAATTTAAAAATTTTTTTTTTTTTTTTTTTGAAATTTAAAGTTTTAAATTTAATTTAATGTTTTTTTTAAATTTTCATTCCAAAAATTTTTTTTATTTTTTCTTTAATATTTTATTTACATTCAAAATTTTTTTTACAATTAACTTTTTATATAATAAAAAATACAATAATAAAATTTAATAATATCAATATCATTTTATATTAATTAAATAATTACAACTATCAATAAATAATAGTTCGCAAATCACCTTTCACATCACTATTATTTCATAAAAATAGTTTAATATAAAATGGATTATTTAACAATTTTATATTTATTTATTGATGTAATCATCGGTTTATTACTCAGCCTTTATGTAAATAAATATTATTTCAACAACAATAACAGTAATAACAATAATAACAACAACAACGATGGTATCTCCAGCAACAACAATAACAATAACAACCACCACCAACACCAAAATACACCAATCCACAATACTGCTCCAATAGATAGACTACAAAGTCAACAACAACAACAACCACCATCACAGCCACTATCACAATCAAAAAGCACTGCTTCAACCCCTGGTATTAGAAAACTATTTCAAGACCTTGATGAATACGAAAGACAACAACAAGAACAAGAAGAAGAGCCAGAACAAGAACAATCACAACAATCTCAACAAAGCTCTCAAAACCCACAACAATTTTCATATTCAAGGGGACAAGCTAGCCACTACCCATCTTTTGATAGAAATCAATCGCGTTATACTGCCAGTGCTAATGTTCAACCAACCAATCAACCACAACGTCCACAACCATCACACTCATCATCAAGTGCTCAGAATTACCCAACATTAAATAGAGCACATTCTCGTACCGCTGTTGATGCTCCACAAACAACTCAACCACAACAACATCCACAACCAACTCATTCATCCTCTAGTGCTCAGAGCTATCCAACAATAAATAGAGCACATTCTCGTTATACTGCCGGTGCCAATGTTCCACCAACTGCTCAACCACAACAACATCCACAACCAACTCACCCATCCTCAAGTGCTCAGAACTACCCAACAATAAATAGAGCACATTCTCGTTATACTGCTGCCAATGTTCCACCAACCACTCAACCACAACAACGTCCACAGCCAACCGATTCATCATCAAGTGCTCAGAACTATCCAACATTCAATAGAGCACATTCTCGTACCGACGTTGATGTTCCACCAACCACCCAGCCACAACAAAACCCACAACCAACTCACTCATCAAGTGCTCAGAGCTACCCAACATTCAATAGAGCACATTCTCGTACTGCTGCCAATGTTCCACCAACCACTGAACCACAACAACACCCACAACCAACCGATTCATCTTCAAGTGCTCAGAACTATCCATCATTTAATAGAGCACATTCTCGTAACGCTGTTGATCCAAATCCACCAAATCCATCACCAGCTTTCAATTCAACAGGTGTCCCAATATCATCTAGTAACACTCCAATGAAGAAGAGATCATTAGAGTCTGATGATGAAGAGTATTTAGAAATTAATATGGGAGCCAATAAAAGACATAGATATGAAGATGAAGAAGAATTAAAAAGGGTTCAAGAAGAAAAGGAACGTTTAGAGATCGAAAGATTGGAAAGGGAAAAGGAAGAAATGGATAGAATAGAAAAAGAACGTGAAGAAAAAGAAAGATTAGAAAAAATCGAAGAGGAACGTATCAAAAATGAACAATTAGAAAAGGAAAGAATGGAAAAGGAACAAAAGGAACAAGAAGAACAACAACAAGAAGATAATAAATGTTACGTTTGCATGGAAGATATGGAGACTGATAGCATCGCCACCATTGATTGCAATCACAGATTCTGTTTTGATTGCATGGATACATGGCATAAAATTAAAAATACTTGCCCATTATGTAGAGCAAGATTCTATACAATTAAAGTAAGTTAATTCATACATTTATATTTATACTTAATAAATAAAAAAATATATATTAATTTTTTTTCATTTTATAACTGTAGAGAGTCGGTCATGATCCAATAGTAGTAGGCGATGTTGAAAATAGAGCCCATGAACAAGAATTAGATTACAATTTCCTTGATGATTCCGATAATTCTCAAAATGAAAATGAAAATGAAAATGATAATGATTCCGATGATGAATTCAGTGGCAACATGGATCAAGTTTATCACCATTTATTGCGTCGTCGTTTTGTTCACAATATTTACGAACCAATATTTGATGATTATATAAATATGGATTAATAATGGAATTGAGGGCGATTAAATTAATAATTTAGGTACTTTATTCAAAGTTTCTTTAAAACGAATATGATGAAGTCCTTACTATTAATTAACTCATTTCATTCGTAGTTTCATTTATTGATTACAATTACATTTATATACATCATCCCAAAATTTGTCCAAGTTGTTCTAAATATTCAAATCATTATCAATATTTCAATAATAAATATATCATCATATTGTTCAGCTCTACAAAAAGAAGCAAAGTAAATTTATAATAATATTAAAGTTCCAGTTCCAAATATTTATAGAGAAATTAAAAAGGTAACTATAATAATAACATTTAAATAATTCATATATTTAAAAATAAAAGAAACTAATATTTAATTTTAATTCTTATTTAGCCTAATTCCAATTCTTTATTCCTCAATATCAATACGTTCAAAGTTTCTAATCTAACGTTAAGATCAAATATTCGAAAACAAAGTTCACGACAATCTTCAACTCATTCAGAACCAAAAACCAGAGTCACTTTTCCCTTTAATGCTAATCACAATCCAATCAGAACCGTATTCCAGCAGTATATACCCCCTCTACAACAATCAACAATCACACTCAAAATCGTATTCCAGCAGTATAAACACCCTTTACAACCATCAGCAATCTCACTCAAAATCATATTCCAGCAGTATAAACACCTTTTACAACCATCATACAATCTCGTTAAAAGTAATAATATAGCAGTATAGCCCAACTATTTTTCAACACACACCAAAATACACATAAATATTATAAAACCATAACTGATACCATCAATAATAATCAAAAGTATGTAAATTATATTTACTTGAACTTAAAATTATAAAATTTTATTGATAGAACAGAATTACTAACCAAATTATTTATATTTAAGAATAGGTTAACCAACAATTACAATCATTAAATTAACAAATTAAATTTTAGTTCAATCTAATGATTATAATCATAGTTCAGTTTTTCATTTAATATTAAGTTATAATACAATTATCTTATATTATATATTCTCCATTTAAAAATAAAATATATTTATTAAATAAAGTTTAAAAAATTTATAAAAAATTTTTTTTTTTTTTTTTGAAATTTTTAAATGGCATTTTTTTGATCCAAACGCATAATATAAAATGGATAAAAATGATTTTTTTTTTTTTTTGAATTTTTTTTATTTTTATGAATTTTGGAAGAAATAAATTTCATATTTTTTATTTATTTATCTTTTTTATATTGACAATGGATGAGCTACTATCATCTCTAATTAACTTTCAAGTAAATGAAGAGTTAAAAAACAGTAGTAATATTAGTGATAGGTAAGTACAATACAATACAATAAATAAATATAAATAATAGTCGATTGAGTAAAAGCATATTCATTGGTGCTTTCTCTTTTTATTATAGATTATTATATAAAGTTTGGAATAATATATTTTTAAGAAATGAAATTCATAAACATATTTTAAAGTTTATTGAACATAGTGTTGTAGATTTTGATAGATATTACCAGTTTAAAGATAAATCATATATAAAAACACTTGAGTGGGATGGTGATACACTACCAGATAAAAATAAATTTCCACCATTTTTGACAAATTTATATTTGTACCGTTTTAATAAAATGTTAACTCCAACAACTTTACCAAATACAATTACTACACTTACATTCGGTAATGTTTTTAACAAAGTAGTTAAACCCGGCACATTACCAAATAGTCTCACAACACTCACATTCGGTTATGATTTTAACCAAGTAGTTCTACCAGGTACATTACCAAATAGTCTCACAACACTCACATTCGGTTATAATTTTAACCAAGTAGTTCCACCGGGCACATTACCAAATAGTTTCACAAATCTCACATTCGGTGAGTGTTTTAACCAAGTAGTTCCACCCGGCACATTTCCAAATAGTCTCACAACACTCACATTCGGTGAGTGTTTTAACCAAGTAATTCTACCCGGCACATTACCAAATAATCTCACAACACTCACATTCGGTGAAGGTTTTAACCAAGTAGTTCTACCCGGCTCAATACCAAATAATCTCACAACACTCACATTCGGTGATTATTTTAACCAAGTAGTTCTACCCGGCACATTACCAAATAGTCTCACAACACTCACATTCGGTAATAAATTTAACCAAGTAGTTCCACCCGGCACATTACCAAATAGTCTAACAACACTCACATATGGTTATTATTTTAACCATGTAGTTCCCCCGGGCTCATTACCAAATAGTCTCACAACACTCACATTTGGTAGTGGTTTTAACCAAGTAGTTCCACACGGCACATTACCAAAGAGTCTCACAACACTCACATTCGGTTATTATTTTAACCAAGCAGTTCTACCCGGCACATTACCAAATAGTCTAACAATACTCACATTCGGTTATGATTTTAACCAAGAAGTAATACATGAAACATTACCAAATAGTCTCACAACACTCAAATTCGGTTATAATTTTAACCAAGAAGTTCTACCCGGCATATTACCAAATAGTCTTACAACACTCACATTCGGTCATTATTTTAACCAAGTAGTTCTACCCGGCACATTACCAATTAATCTCACAACACTCACATTCGGTGATTGTTTCAACCAAGTAGTTCCACCCGGCACATTACCAAATAATCTTAAAACACTCACATTCGGTGATTATTTTAACCAAGTAGTTCTACCCGGCACATTACCAAATAGTCTCACAACACTCACATTCGGTGAAGGTTTTAAACAAATAATTCTACCCGGCACACTACCAAATAGTCTTACAACACTCAAAATAGGTTATTATTTTAACCAAATAGTTCTACCCGGCACATTACCAAATAGTCTTACAACACTCACTTTCGATTATCGTTTTAACCAAGTAGTTCTATCTGGGATATTACCAAATAGTCTCACAAAACTCACTTTCGGTCGTGATTTTGACCAAGTAGTTCCACCTGGGACATTACCAAATAATCTCGCAACACTCACATTCGGTTATTATTTTAACCAAGTAATTCTACCCGGTACATTACCAAATAATCTCACAACACTCACATTCGGTTATAATTTTAACCAAGTAGTTTTACCTGGCACATTACCAAATAGTATTACAAAACTCACATTTGGTTATGGTTTTAACCAAGTAGTTCCACCCGGTTTATTTAAAATTAATTACAGTCATGATTAATATTTTCCTACCAAATAGAAACTAAAATCTATTTCTTTCCTCTTTATAAAACCTTTGTTTATAAAAATAATAATATTAATAAAAATTAAAATATTAAAAATATTAAAGATTTAGGTAATTATAAAAAATTTATTAGTAATTTTTATAACATATTAATAGAATAGAAAACTAGTTCAAACAACTAAAGATAAACATTATTCCATTCAATAAGAAAATACCTAATTAAAATTAAAATTAAAAATTTAATTTTGTAATCTGCTATATAACCAACAAAATGTAATTTGGGTTATTGATTCACTCCAAAAGGTTATGATATTGTCCACTTAAAAAATTAATACAAAAGCTAAACTGATTATCTCAACAATAGCAGAGGCACAAAAAGCTGTACATATGAAATATATCAGAACAATACATGGTTGGAAAGAAAGTGATTACAAAAGGAAATGTTCACAACCTCTACTTTTAATAATTGAAGATTCTCTATTTGGTAATTTTAATTGATAAATATTTGTGTGTTTTGGTGTGGATATCTATTTTGGTGTATTGGGGAGATTTAAAATTAATGGGGTTCCATCTTTATCAAAGAGGGTACCACAGCCGAATTATTAAATTTACAAACATTTGAAAAAACTTGTTTTGATTTTCATTATGTAAATTCTTTCTTATCACAAAAGATATTTTTACAAATTAAAATATTATAAATAAATGTAAATATTATAATATTTAAATCCCAACACTAATTTTTTTATTTTATTTAATCTAATTTTATTTATTATTAATTAATAAAGTTTGAAGGAAAAAACCAACTGTATATATTGTACAATCCAAGTATTTCAAAATATGTAACTTTATATTAATTGTATTGTAAATATATTATCAAAACATAAAAAAGTATTTATAATGGTTTATTCTTTGAAAAATCTGAAAATAGACGGCGATTAGTTTTTTTTTTTTGATCAATACATTTTAATTTATTTTTAAACTAAAATTTTATTTTTTTAAGAAATTTTATTTTTCTTTTTTTTACAATTTTTTTTGTATTTTTTTTTAATTTTTTTTAATTTTTTTTTTTCTTTTAATTTTATCAATTTCTGCAAAATTAAACCAGATGAATATTTTAAATATTGGTATAAATACAATTAAAACAATTCCTTCTAAAAGATCATTTACAACAATAGTAGAAAATAAAATGATAACAAATAAAAATAATAAATTATTATTAGGTGATAGAATGAAATCTTACGAAAAAGAATTCTCTTATAAAATAGAAAAAAATCAATGTTTTCTAATTCGTTTAGATGGCCATGGTTTTTCAAAATTTACTAAAAGATTTAACAAACCATGGGATCTCAGAAGTAGCTATTATATATTATTAAATTTAAAATTATAATTTTTATTAACAATACTTTTATATCATTTAGTTCATAATGCAATGGTTAAAACATCAGAAACTTTAATGACCACATTTAATCCAACATGTGTTTACACATTTAGTGATGAAATTACCTTATGCTTCCCATCAGTACCAGAAGTCGAAGGTGAATTAATTCCAGAAACAATTTATTCAGGTAAAATTCAAAAATTAACAACACTTGCAGCAGGTTTAGCATCAACAGTTTTTTATAAATCAATTACAAATGCAGAATATGACCCTGAAAAAGATAAAGATGTATGTATATAATAGAGGCATATTATTAAATTGTTACCAATAAATCTAATTATTAATTTAATTTTAATTTATAGGTTATTAAACTTTTAGAAGAAGCAACCCCATATTTTGATTCAAGATTATTTGCTTTACCAAAAAATGATGAAATTGTAAATAATTTATATTGGAGAAGTGTTGTAGATTGCAGAAGAAATAGCATTTATGGTTTAGGTAGAAAATATTTTTCAGATAAGCAATTATTTGGTTTAAATACAGATATTGTAAAAAAGAAATTGTTGGATGAAAAAGGTATTGATTACAATGCCGAACCTGGTTGGTACAAGTATGGTGTTTATTTCAAAAAACAAAAAAGCAACGTCACTCTTATTTCCCCATATGATAAAAAAGAAGTAACCGTTTTAAGAACCAAACTTGTTAATTTTTCATTCAACATTGGAGAATTAGATAATAATTTAAATTTCATAACAGAAAAAGTTTTACCAGAAGATTATAGTTTAAAATTTAAAGAAAAAACATTAGAAACAAATGAAGATAATAATATTCAGGTTTAATAAAATAAAATAAATATAGGTTTTTTTAATTAAAAAAAAGATAAAAAACAATAGATTTTTTTTATTTACAATTAATTTAATAAATAAATAAATAGATATTAATAAATAAATAAATAGTGTAATAAATAAATAATAAATAGTTGTTGTTTAATTGGATATAAAAAAAAGAAAAGAAAGGATTTAATTAAATTGATTCGATGGGATTGGATAATGATTTGATTTAATTTGGGAAACTAATTTAGAAGAGTTATTATGTGATACAGGTAAAAGTTGAATAACTTCTTGGTTTTGTAATTCTAGTTGTTGTAGTTGACGATTTAATTGTTGTTGTTGTTGGATTTGTGATTGGTGGAATGAAAGAAATTGTTGATGTTGTTGATGTTGTTGCTGTATTTGGTATTGTGATCCACGTGGGGTAATTGGTAATTGAGATTGTGATGGGAATCTAATGGCAGTTGGTGTATTCATAGAGGTTGGTGTTATTGGGTTAAAGTTTCTTGGTGTTGATGGCTGTGAATATGATGTATGACCAAATGGTGATGAGAAATTAATTGCAGTTGGGGAGTTATTAGATGATCCGGCACTTCTTTGTGTGTGTGGAGAGTAGTGGTAGAAAGAGTATTGATGATGGAGTGGTGGTGGAGTAGTTGGGGTATTCTCAGAATTTGTGCCTCCGGAGCTATTGAGTTCAACAAAGTAATAGTCAGTTGAGGATATAATACCGCCATCATCGCTTCTTGCAGAATTAAATGATGATGTTCTTGGGGTACTTGTTTGGGTTGGAGAGTTTGATAGGTCGTCACATGATGAACCTTGTTGTTGGATAAATTGTTGTTGGATTTGTTGTTGTTCTCTTAGTTGTTGATTGGTTTGGGAGGTAAGGTTGATAGTATTTGTAATTTGATTCTTTTTTAATAGTTGGTGAACCTTATGGGTTATCGATTTTTCAAGATTGTTGTGTGATAAATCCATAAAGGTGAGGGTTTGGTTTGATGTTAAAAGTTTAGTAAGAGCAGCGCTACCTTTAATGCCCAAAAAGTTACCACGGAAGTTGATGGATTCTAATTTTTGATTTACTTTTAAGGCCTCTGTTAAAGCAAGACCACCCTTTTCAGGGATTAAATTATTTTTTACAGAGAGTTCAATAAGAGTTTTATTGACCTTTAGTGATTTTGAAATTGATTCTAAGCCTTTAGCACCGATTTCATTATAGCCTAATTGTAAAACCTTTAAAGATGAATTATATTTTAAGGCTTTTCCAATAGATTTGGCACCAGACGAATTGATAGAGTTAAAGTTAAGATGAAGAGTTTGCAAATATTGATTTGTTTTAAGAGCATCACCAATTTCACTAGCACCTTTATCTTGAAGGTCGGTATCATCGAGGATTAAATTCTCCAAATGAATTTTATTTTCTTTTAAACCTTGAGCCAATTCTATAATACCACTATGAGAAATCTTTGTGTGGGAAATGTTGAGTTTTTTGATATAATGATTAACACAAAGACTCTTTGCCAATACTTTGCCAATAAGGTTCGATGATTTGGTATTTGAAAGACTCAAGCTTGTAATTGATTTATTTGATTGTAATGCATCTGCAATATCGATTGTTTTTTCATATAGGTCATTGTTTGAAATATTTAAAGTTTGAATAGTGTTGTTCTTTTTAATAAATTCGGCCAAGAGTTCACCGTTGCTTTCAGAGAGTTGACTTGAACTAAGGTCTAAAAAGGTTAAGTCTTGATTTCTAGTGAGAATGTTTAAGAATGGTTTTAAAGCCTTTTTACCGAAATTGATACCTTCTAAATTTAAAGTTAAAATTGGATTGTGTGGTGCAATATAGAATTCGTCATCATCGACTGATGATTTAGAAGAGGAGAATGAACATGATGGTGAAAAGGTAATCATATTATCACTTGTATTTGTACTATGGATACCATTGGAAACAATAACTGTGGTTTGGGATGGATTTAAATTGTTACTACTACTATTGGTACTATCGATAAAACTAATACAACTTTCGTCTTCCAAGTCATAGTCGTTGTATCTTTTGGCAAGGGCATTTACTATACAAACACCAAAAGATTCGTTTACATTTGAAAGAAGAACTTGTTGTAAATTAATTGAGGTTAAAAACTTAGAGCCAATTAAAACCTTTAATAAATCGATTGATTCGGATGGTAAAATAGTCATACATGATATATCAATTTGTCTAAGGGATTGGTTGATTGATAAAGCTCTTGGGAGACCAGATAGAGGATGTCTATTACTATTGTGAGAAAAATTTAAATGGGTAAGAGATTGGGAACGTTCAATATAGGAGCAAAGACGAGGGGATACATCTAAAGAAAGTTGATATTCGTTGTTTGAAAGGTCAAGATATGTGATGGTTTGATTGTATTGAAGGGTTTCTAAAATTGAATGGTTTTCATCTTGGTCGAGATTGTTATGGGAGAGATTTATCCAATTTATAGAACGATTTGTTTTGATTATATCTGAAATAATTAAAGAGAGACCATCAGTTCCCAAAGAGTTGTGTGAAAGATTTAGTTGGTTAAGTGTTTGGTTTGGAGCTTTTAAGGCTAGACCTAAAGCAATCCAGCTTTCTAATTCTTTTATTGATTTATTGTGTGAAAGATTTAAATGGGTAATTGAATGTCTTTGTTTTAAAGCTTCTGAAATTGATATCAATTCTTGGGATGAGTTTAATCTTAAATGTACTGTTTGTAAACAACTATATTTTAAACAAAAATCTCTATATATTTTACATATTTTTTTTGATGGAGATAAAGTGCCACTTAAATTTAATGGTGCAATTGGTACATTGGAGGTATTTGGTGAATATTGTTGTTGGTTTTGTTGTTGTTGGAATATATTTACAAATTGTGGGGTAACTGTGCCATTTGGTGTTATGTTGTTATTAAACTGATTTGGAGTTGGTGTATTTTGATTAGTTGGTGTATTTTGGTTACTATTTGGAGTAGCCATAATATTATTACTAATTTTATTTAAATTTAATTTTGGAATTCTTCCAGTTTTAAAATTTAATTTATCTATAAAATTTTGTTGTTGTTGTTGTAATATTTGTTGTTGTTGCTGTTGTTGTTGTTGAAGAAAGATATTATGATTTTGTATTAAAATACTATTATTATTATTATTATTATTATTACTTATACTAATATTACTATTATTATTATTAATATATACATTAGCTGTATTAGCAGTAGCTGCTGTTAGTGTTGATGTTGATGATAGATTTGAAGGAAACATTTTTAATGTGTCTGATTTTTTTTTATATACAGAGAATATTTTGAGAGAAAAAAAAAAAACTAAAAATTAAATTAAATTTAAAAAAATAAAATTAATTAAATTGTTAGTATTAATATAAATCTTTAAAGTTTGATATTTGTTTATTTAAATATATATAAATATATGTTTGTTATATTAAATTATTATCAAAAAAAATAAGTGTGGGTGTGTAGATTAAAAAAAGATATGTAAAAAATCATTCGGTAAATAATTATTTAAATAGTTTTTTTTTTTTTTTTTTTAATGGATAATCACTTTTATTACTTTAATTAATTATATTTATTATATCTTTTATTAATAAAAACAAAAATGGTAATTTAAGATTTTAAATTCAAACAATTGTTTATATGGTTATTATTTTAAAGAGGTGCGTATTTTATTGGTAATAAATTAAAGAAATAATTGTATTAAAAATCTTGTGTGTACATGTGTGGTGTGTGTGTAAATATGTATATGTGTGTGTGCGATGTTTATAATACTATACTATACTATACTATATATATATATGTGTGTGTTATGATGGAGTGGGGGATATTGTTATGGGGAATAAAATAAAAGTAAAAATAAAATTTGCGTATACGTGTGGGTTGTTAATTATATATTGTTTAAATCAATAGGGATGGTGTTGGTGTGATGTGATGGTTTTAATTTTTATTCTTTATTTTTTTTTAAAATTTCGAAATATACAAAAATAAATTCAAACAAAAAAATAAAAAAAATCTTATAATTTACATTGTAAGAATATTTTTTTTAAAATTATTCTATTTTTGATTGTATTTTATAAAATGGTGAGGGACAAATTAAAAATGGTGAAGTAGTAGTTTATTGATTTATTTTATTATTGTTATTTTGGTAAAAATAAAAATAAAAAAATTAAATAAAAAATAAAAACAAACAATAATATTTGAAATTTTGGGTTCGAATTATTATAGGGTTTTATTTTATTTATAATATATAATCACTAATGATGAAATCAAGATAGTGATATGATGATGCTGATGCTGCTGCTGCTGATTATGATGATGTATTATATTATTTTTATTATTGTTTTATTATGGCAATATTTTAAAATTTTTACTTACTTTATATTTTGTTTGATATATTAAAAGACACTTTTATTATTTTGATTTTAAAATAAATATTTTTATTATTTACAGTTTATTTTAAAAAATTATATATTAAAGTTTAAAAAAATTAAATTTACAGAAAAATTAAAAAAAAAAAAAAAAAAAAAAAAAAAAAAAGAAAATTTATTGTTACTGTTATATAACAATTTAAATTATTATTACTTATAATACTATTATTAAAAGTGTTATAATGATTGTTTAAACCTATATAATATTTTATTATATTAAATAAAAACAAATAGTTAAAGTTTTTTGATTTTTTATTATTTTATTTATATAATCATAATTATAATTTTCAGTATTAAAAAAAAATAAAAATTTTAAATATTATAATATTATTCCCCTTATTGTTATATTGGTTTTTGTTTTGTTTG